ACAGTGTGGTGTTTTCACACACAATCCGAAACACTTCCATCAAACTGGTTAACATAGCCTTCATGTCATTTTCTTAGTTATTGTGTTAAAACGTTATATTCTACTCATAGAAAGATTAATTTTTTTTTTTTTGAGACAGAGTCTCACTTTGTCACCCTCAGTAGAGTACTGTGGCATGATAGCTCATAACCACCTCAAACTTTTGGGCTGAAGTGATCCTCTTGCCTCAGCCTTACAAGTAGCTGGGATCATAGGTGCCCACCACAACACCCGGATATTTTTAGAGGTGGGGGTGTCACTCTTGCTCAGGTTGGTCTCAAACTCCTGAGCTCAGGCAATCCACCTGCCTCAGCCTCTCAGAGTGCTAGGATTACAGGCATGAGACACTGCGCCCTGCCAAAGTTTTTTTTTAATATTACAGAGAAAGAATAGAATATATATATATGGAGGGGAAAAGATGTAAAAACCACGTCAAGGTTAAAAAATGGCACCCAAGAAAAGAAAAAAGCATCTTAGGGTAGTATCCTAGCAAAGATCAAGACAAATAAATGAATTAACTGGGCACAGTGGCAGGCTGAGGTGAGAGATTGTTTGAACCAGGAATTCAAGGTTACAAGAGGCACTGTGCTCCAATCTGGATGACAGAGCAAGATCATGTTTAAAAAAGAAGCTAAATATGATACACAGGAAAGTAAAAGAATATACTGACTATTCTGAGAAGGGACGAAGAACTCTCTTATTCTTTCATTCCCCCTTTAACTAAGGTGACCATAACATTTATCACTCTAAACTTGTGCATTCTGAAAATAAAAGGGAGCGCTATTAATAATTACAGCAGGACAAAAGATAGCCCCATGGACGATCTTGAGCAAACCAGGTTATGTGGCTCCCTATTTCTAAATATTTACCCATTCATCCACATCACCCCAGGCTTGCTTTAGAAACAGCAGAAAATTCTATGGAACATTAATTTTCTTAAGAGACAAGGTCTTGTTCTGTCATTCAGGCTGAGTGCAGCAGCCCAAATATAGCTCACTGTAACCTTAAACTGCTTGGCTCAACTGTCTACCTTAGCTGCCCAAGTGGGTGATACTATAGGTGTTAGCCACCTATTTTTTTTTTTTT